AAAAAAAAAGATTTTGAGATGGTTTCAGACTGCACCACGGGGTTTTAGGTCTTTAGCGGTGGAACGTTTTAGAAAAATTAGATCAAACATAATCAAATATAACAAAACAAAACGAATCATCCCATCAAAAAGTCAACATTATCCAATAAAATTTTGTTGTAAAAGTTGTAAGTATTCGTAATGACCTAGGCAGTGAATGATCAGAACAAAGGAGTTTGACCTTGTAAAGTCACTAGGACGACTCAAATGATTCGATTACAGATTGGGTAAGGGGCACATGTTGAAGTCTTTTTAAGTGACAACAGTGCCACCAAGGAATGCCCACAACACTATAGCTTTAGCATACTCTTTGTACAAAACTACGATTTCGCGCTGTTATCAAAAAGTCAGTATCAGCTTGATTCGTCGGGGGTGGAGTCAGCACCTAGAGGCGGGGCTAACATCGCTTTGGGCGCTATCTTTATCATCTGGAAGCCCTAAATAAAAGAACTTATCTTGGCTATGGATTAGTGAAATCGCAGACACAAAAATAACTTAACTCCATACTTGTACATCCATAAAGTTGTACTTGGCTATAATTAGACAAGTGTAATTTGAGAGGCGGAATTCTTTCTGTCGTAGCCGCCTGCCTGTACTCGGAATGAATGTCAAAACCCGTCATCCATTCACTTCATTCTCAGTCAATGTCTTGACAGTCGGCGCTAAAGCTTTTTTATTCGTTTCTAAGCCAATAATCAGAAGTTAGGTCAACTAGTTTCATTTGTTTACCATGAATTTGCAATCTGCCACATTGCAGTCCCAACAGTTTCAAAGCCTCTTACCTATTACCTATATATTCTGGTAGAGTTACAGTTTCCTGGTTTTCATCAGGTTTTCTCTGAAAACTTCTTCTTCATTTTTATTTAGCTCTGATGATGGCATAATGCCTTCCAATTCCGGAGTATTTTTAGGAAAATCGCTGTTTGCTCCGTTTCTTTTCAATTTTCTACTTCTGTCGTTTACCTAAATTTACTGCATAGTAGGAAAATCAAGTTGTAACTCACATAATTGCAAAAAATCTGGTCTGGTTCAATGAGATACATAGGATTTGAAGAAGTGTCCGGTAAAGGAAACTTGGCCAAGCAATGGAAAAGGGTTTCCCGAACAATTGAATTATCTACTTACCTGGATACTAAAGGATTCTCCTTTATCTAAGGAAATCTTTATCTTGATTGAACCATTGCTAATCATCACCCAAAATCAAATCAATGGTCAAACATGTCGACACACTCTTTTCTGTTCTTCGATGCATTACAATGTTTGCTTGAATGAGTAGTAGGAAAGGCCCAAAACCTGAAATAGTTTACCTCATTCACCGCCTCTCATCTGTTTCCCAATTATATTTGAAAGCAAACAAATCAGCAGGCAGGAGGAATGGTTTTTGGCTTGTCGAGACGGAGGGAGGGTATTGATTTATCCTTTTTTTTTGTTTGAAAGAGGTTTAGAAGGGGCTCTGTTCCGTTTTGCTGCTTTCTTCCATTCTTCTATCGACATGATAGAGAAACGGAGCTCCTCCTTCACCCGCGACGCACTGATACAATGGGAAAAGAAGCCAAAAGCTTTATTGTATAGGGAAAGATTAGAATCCCAAAGGAAGGATACTGTAGTCACTGTGAAACCACTGCAACTTGCCATGGGAAATCGGGGAGAAGTACCGCCACCCTATGCGTCACTAGCTGAAGATTGAAAGACTACAGATAGCGCCAATGGGAAGGCTCGTA